CGGATCGGATCGAGAGAGAGAGGGGGGGAGAGAGTCGCCGCCTGGGTGGGCCCTGAGCGCCGGAGGATGAGATTTGTCCTTCTGAGGATTCGATTTCGGAGGAAAATCGATGGGAGGAGGAGGACAGCAGCCACTCAGGCAGCCACTCTCTTGGTTGTCATCGTCTTGGGCTCGCATGTTAGCCATTTTAAGAGTTTGACTCTTTTTGGTGTGTTTTTTACATTAACGAGTGACTTTGTGCGGGAAGCACATTTATGAGTTTTATTTTTCTTCCTTATTATTTTTAAATCATTATTACTAGCATTTAAGATTACTAGCATATGATTGCCCTTTTTCTACGTTGTTTGACGGGCAAGTGTCACTTATCAGCAGTTTTAAACTATCTATAATTTCTTAAAAAATGCTTTGACTCTCCGAGAAAGTTGGAACAACTTAGAAGTAATTATTATGATGGCAAGATTAATTTTAGTAAGTGCTAATATGGTGATTAGTGTATGTTTTTGTTTGTGAATTAGGGTGGTAATAGTGCTAATTAAATATTTAATGTTTTTAATTACTGATTATCATGCCAACATTAGTGTTAGTGCATATTTATTAGTGTATAATTAGTTGTCATTATTTTTAAATAATAGATACAATTATTCAACTATTCTCATCACATCCACTCCCATCCACCCAATCAAAAATATAGCTCATCCAACCAAACAGAAAGCATGCGACTCTCATCCATCCAACTAAACAAAAAAATTTGGCTCCATCCAACCAAATAGAAAGCATGAATAAGTCTATCCTAAACGCATGGATGGTCATATCCTATCCAACTACATCCTCAAACTAAACACGCCATAAATGATTGTACTATTTGAGATTACTAGAGTATGATTGTTCTTTTTCTACATTGTTTGAGGGATGAGTGTCATTTATCAACAATTTAGAACTATTTATTATTTCTTAGGAGGTATACAGAAATCAATTTCCACAAAATATCCCTTTTTCAAAAAAGATCAATAAGAATTCATAAATTTACATCATTTTGAACAGAAAATCCAAAAACAAAATAGTCATGAAAATTCAAAGATGTAGTTATTACTTATTAGTATCCTACATTCGTACTTTCAAAGCTCTAAGAATAGTTTCTTATACAGTATACTGATCCATAACGAAATAGTCACGAAAAGGGGAAAAGGGGCCAAGCATGCAATTTTTTGAAAAAAAAACACCAATAAACATCATAGTTCAAACACCATACAGAGAAACTATGGTTTTAATATTGATTATACGCTCTTGTTAGCTGTAGCAACACAACCTCAAATTTGCTAGTTAGAGTAAAAAAAACAGAAAAAGAGAAGGCGCAAATCAGATCGGCCCAAATAAGGCTGTTGCACACAAGTTCAGGGTTAACTGGGCCCAGCTAAACCAAAGCTCTACGTTTTATTTTCGATGCTCACCTCATCAGTGTTTTATTATACCGTGTGGAGTAACACAACAATTTTCATAACAAGTTAATCTTGTGGTATGGTTGCCCGAGACATGTTAATTTATATCCCTTATAAAGTTAATCTCCACTACAAGTTCTATCTTAATATTCAAACCATCTACATCATCTCGTATTAACTATCCACATCATATTCACTAATAACTATGTCATCTCACTAAAGCTAATCTCACTGTAAGTTTTATCTTAATATGCAATATATCCACCTCATTTCCCATTAATAGCCATGTGATCCCACTAATCATGTCATCTCCACTAAACGCAAATACTACTTTCAATATATAAGAAATATAAAAGCCATCCATATAATATAATTGGTTTTGTTGTTCCATCATCTTATAATTTGATCTAATTTTGTTAGTTTTATTGTTGGATATCCATTGTGTTGCCTTTTTGATAAAATAGATATAAGAGCATGTAGGTTTAACACACATGCAATTATTTTTTCTAAAAATAGTCTCACAACAACACGTGAGGTATCATTCCTTTTTTTTTGAAACAAGAGGTATCATTCTAGTTTACACGAATTTGGCAACAAAAACATATCAACAATGGAAGTGAATGGACTATTCCTAGGTGGGAATTGGCAGGGCCAAGCGACTACTCTGCCTGACCCCACTTTCCAGAGGGGAACAATACTCAGTCACAGTGTATCTTTGTGGCCTGCCTTTGCCTATTCCTCCTCTGCAGAGATCTTTTGAGATGGGTTGGGCTGGGCTGGGCTGGGTGACATAGATTCTGGACCATTTCCGAGGACTGATAGCTTCCTAGTAAGGCCGCGTTCGTTCGAAGGGGAATGATTGCCGGGAAATAATCCAGGCCAAATTCATTATGTAATTTGAATAAACTTCAGTCAACATGAATGGTTCCTGGCCGGATTCAGTTGAACCGAACGTGCCCTAAAGTGTTGTCACCATGATGCCCCCTTTGCATTCCATGGCCATGACTCCTCCCAGCTAGCTTTCTCCTGTCCCCTTCGACAGACACTTCGAATGCTTGCTAGCTCAACGGCTGGCGGGTATGTGATCACAAGCTCCTGCAAACTCTCGTGGAAAAAATAAAGAATCACAAAAGAAGATTAGATTTGCTCTTTTTTCGTGATGGATAGCGTCACGATTAGCAGTTTCGGTTAACATCCCATGTCAATGACGCCTAGGACCATCAGATCAAACTATGCTGGCAATTTTCCCGGCAGAAGAGAAGATTATAGTACCTCGGTTCTCTCAGCCATAGCCCATAGGATGGCATAGCTTATTAGTATGATTGCGGACTTGCGGTGTCTTCTTCTCAAACTAAACTTAAGGGTCTTTTAAAATGGTGTGTGGTCAATCAAGGAGAAGCTCTGATCCCCTAGTCTGCATATTCTTGAGCTCCTGATGACTCACGCTTGGCCACTAATCTATTGCCCAAGTGTGCCACAGGTTGCAAGCAAAGCTGCAGGCCACCGGCAGGCATGTGGCTTGTTTGGACGATGCTTCCATGTCCATACTAAACGCCAGCAGAATATAAGAAACGCTTCAGTTCCCTGCAACTCTCTTTCACACCACAAAGCAAGCAGCAGCAGCAGCAGCAAGCGTACATCCATGCCATGATGTACCCCTGCTTTCGTTTTCAGGCGTGTTTCTTTGTGGTGAGTGATGTCGATAGCGACCGGGTCTGGGACCAAAAGAAAAGATCAGGACGAAGAATCTGATGCGGGCACAGTCAACAGAGGCTAACACTCCTGGTACAAATAAAGTGATCCATGTAGATTAGAAAATATTAAGACTACTATTCACACAATACAAACTATCACTACTTGTGGTTTAAAAAAAAACGTTTTCATTTCATCACACATCACCTTTATTTCCTCTCCATCTTCTTTTTTAGCATGGACCACATTTTCTCTCCCCAAACATATATAGCCTCTGTAAGCTACTGTAACAAATGTAGAAACTTGAGACTACTGGATAAAAAAAAAATTGCGTTGGGAAAGCCCTAAGCAGACAGGCAGGCAGGCTTTTGGGCTTGTGGCAGTATCAAAATCTGCACGTTGCTGTCACTGACCTGATGAGCTTTAGATCAACCTCAACCTCTGCAGATTTTCCAAATGATGTTACTTCTGCGTTCCCCCTACCCAGGCTGGATATTTTCCATTTACGAACACCTATTTGACCAGATAACCAAGCATCCACACAAGAATCATATCCTAATCCCATGCCCAACTGGGTAACGAGCATGTTTTAGATTCCATTGCAGCCATAAATAGTAAATCTCACCAAAAGAACTGTGGCGAGACATGAAATTAGGACTTCGGGCACGAAGGAAGCATCCAGACAGTGAGGCCATGACACAATGCCAGTGCAAATGCGAGCCTATATCATTTCTCTTAGGTTAGAGAGTACGCCTCATCCACAAACAGAAGAGGAAGGAATTAAACACAACAAAGTAGTGGGGACATATACAATCTCCAGCAAAGCTGTCGCCATTTAGGAATACTATCATGGTTCTGGGGCAGCTGCCCTGATAACTCTGCGCGTGCAAGGTTGACGACCGAACAAAGATGCACGCCTCAATTTGATGACCGAAGAAAGATGTATGCCTTGGCGGAAACTGATCTCGTCGCGATCCACATCTTCCCAAAGCTTGCATACACTAAAAGTGACCTTCTAATGTAGTTAGCATCATCATCTACACCAGTCATCGCAAGTTGCCTGCCTCAGGTAAAGCTGCAATGACAAAAACAGAAATCTACCATGAGCAACTTTGATCATAATTATGAAACAAGACTCATACTGAGTTGCCAAATTTCACCAAAAGGTGTTCCAACCTATATAAATTACCAATCAGATGTCATCCTGTCCTAGCAACAACAAAATATAGTTCCAAGGCTGAAATACTAGGCATGAACACATTTTCCAACAAAAGAGAATAAACAGTAGCATTCGAGTGCCATAATTGACACAAATTGCCACTTGGCACCTCACAAGCTCACATACCATCTACATGTCGCTACACCGAAAATAGACCACAAAGAAGTGGAAATGTAATGCTTTTAGAATTTAAAAGCAAGCTTGCTACCCATCAGCTAGAGCACTACTGGGATTGCGGATCACTCCAAGCATCATATGATGGCTCTCGGCAAGGCAAGCAAAGCTTTCTCATTATGATGCAGCCATCCCTTTTTTACCGGTAGAAACTTGATGACCGTAAAACCCATAAGTAGCTACCAACCTTTTGCTACAACTTTTACATCAATTCACTCACCTTACAATTAGTATTTTTATTAATTCTTCCCTGGCAATGCTACTCACGAGTTATTTAAAAGAGATTGATCTACCATATTTATTTTTTATAATTCAGTACTACTTCACATCATGCTTGTTAAGATGCATAATTGCATCCATGTTCGCCAGCAGAAACTTTTCCATTTTTGTAGTACAGTGAATGGTACTCGCAGTTCTTAAGTATTCACTGAAATAAACATGCCATGGAATTTTCAGATCGAGGGGGTTTGCAGACTCACTCATTTCGGCCAATGCCCGCGTTGGAGCAATTCCTCGCCGGATTGCGCGGACTCAGAGCTGAAGAAATCTGAGGGTGATCTCTTCCTGTGGCGGGAGGCGAGGAAGCGGCCACCGTTCCGGGAAGAGGTGGCCTCGTCGCTGCGGCTGCCGTGGCGCTCTGACGACGAATAGTGGCACAGGCCCGGCTGCGAGGTGGAGCACGGCACGTTTTCCTAGAAAGAAACATGGCGACATTTGGATCAGAACGATCGGCCGCTCACGAATTGGAGGAAATGGTGGATCCTATCATCGTCGACCGCGATTCACGAGGGAAAGCGTCCCGATCGACTATAAAAATTGCATCTTTGCAAAGCGATAGAATGGCAGATCGAGCGATGGAATCGCAGGCAAATCGAGGAGCAGGTGGAGAGAGAGAGGGGGGCAATAAAGGCGGCACGTACCTTTGCGCACTCTGCGCCGCTCGCGCCGTTGGCGGGGGCCTCCCGGCTGCTGCTGGACGTGGAGCTGGCGACGGGCGGCGGCGTCGCCTCGGCCTCCTCTGTCCACGGCACGACCTGGTTCTCCCCCTCCCCTTCATCCTCTTCTTCCTCCTCGTCGTCGTCCTCGTCCTCGACGACCACCTCGTCGTCATCATCGCCGCCGTCGTCGTGCTCCTCTTCTTCGTGCCCGCGGCCGTCGCCCGCGCCGCCCATCTCCTCGTCGCCGCCGACGCCCACGGCCCCCGGGCCGCGGCGGACGCAGCGGTCGCAGAGTGAGGCGGTGGGGCCGAGGCGCGGGCCCGCGGCGCGCCACGGCGTGGGGCGCGCGCAGCCCCGGCACAGCAGCGCGCGCGTGTGGCGCGCCACCAGGAAGTTGGCGCCGTGCACCTGCGCGTCGCAGCCCCAGCAGAGCGTGGCCTCGTCGGCGCCGCAGTACACCCTGGCCGTGGCGCCGCACAGCTCGCACGCGCCCCCGGGGCCGGGGCCGGGGCTGGCGCCCTTCTCCTTCCCACCTTCCCCCGCCGCCGCCGCCGCCGCCGGCATGATCCTCGCCCTTCGACCTCGCCTCGCCACACACGCAGGGGGAGATTTCTCGGTTTCTTTCCTTGCCTTTGTTTGTTTGGAGCGGCGAGAGAGATGTGAGGAGGAGGGAGTAAACGGAAGGAAGGAGCAGTATGGGGTGTGTGATGTGAGGCTGGAGTTTGGTTGGGTGCGGGAGGTTTTGAGCCTCCAACCGAGGATCCTCTGCGGATGCGCTTCGCTCCCACTTCTGGCCGCGGGAGCCTCCAGATGGACATTCCTTTCATGCCTTCCTTTACTCTCTCTTCCCCCTCACTTGAGGATCCTCTGCGGATGCGCTTCGCTCCCACTTCTGGCCGCGGGAGCCTCCAGCTGGACATTCCTTCCATGCCTTCCTTTTCTCTCTCTTCCCCCTCACCCCTCACTTCACACACTCTCTCTCTCTCTCTCTCTCCTTCCCGGGACCGGGAGGCGTAGCTGTGGAGCATGATGGGTTTCTCTTTATCCAGCGATTGCAAGGATAACACCGCACGCCTTAGATTTATTTATTTAAGGAAATATCTAGAGAAGGGTTATCCAACAAACAAGCATTGGACACTCAGATTTCGCGCTCGGGCCCTACGCCCGCCCCACACCCCTTTTTCCCCAACTCCGGTGGCCGCCGCCCGCCCCACTCCCTTCTTCCCCAACTTCGGCGGACTTACAAGAGAAGGGCCGGGGGGAGGAAGACCGGTCAGACGGTGGGAACAGCGACAGGGCGGTTTAGGGGCCCCGGCAGCAGTGGAGGCCGACGGGCCAGAATGGGGTGGGGGTGTCCATGGCCGGAGCTTACCACAGAAGGAGGGGGAAGAAAGCGGCCGCTGCGGGCGAGCTACGGCGAAACCCTAGCGCGCCTGCGGCGGCGGCGATGCGTCGGGCTTGAGGAAGAAGATACGAAGAGGAAAAATCAGGTGTTGGGAAAAAGGAAAAATGCTCCAGTGCTGGCTAGCCAGATCCAATATCTAATATGAGTTTTTTTGTACGTATGATCGATTTCATATCATAAATGTTATATAGTGGCTTATGACCATTGTATTTTTGCAGGGACTTCAAAACGCACGGCCGTTTTAAAAGGCGCACCGCATGGCCACCTCCCCTATCTCCCTCCACACGCCCACACTTGCCAGGCCGTCTTCTACCTCACGCTTCTTCCCTAACTCCAGCGGCGGGTTCCAGCTGGCGGCGACGAGTTCAGCGTTGGCGAGGTGTGTCCTCCTCCTCCTCCTCCTCCTCCTCCCGCATTCAAGCACTCCCAAGTTAGGGTTCCGATCGGCCCCTCTCTTCTTCCCCAACTCCAGCGGCCTTAGAAGAGGAGGGGTTCGTGAGAGGCAGGCCGGCCAGGCGGTGGGGACGGCGGGAGGGCGGCTTAGGGTTCTAGCGGCAGTGGAGGCAGTCGAATCAGGGCGGGGGCGGGGCCGCCCATGGACATGGTGGAGCTGGGTGAGGGGAGGGGAAGAAGAAGGTCGCTGCGGGCGTGCTAGGGTTTTGTCGGGGCTTCGAGGCTACGACGCCGCGATTGCGAAGCTCCGTCGAAATAACCCTAGCAACCCCACGGCGGGGCGGTGGGACTACGGGAGGAAGAAGAAGAACAGTAGCGCGTGTGCGGCTGTGCAGAGCGGCCGACCGTGCGGCTGGCCTAACACGTGGTGTTAGTAGACCCCTTGTATTCTCATTTCACTTCTAGTTTTCCCCCACATGTTAATCTCCTAACCCATTAATATGCGTATCTATTTAACTCAGAGGCGAACGAAATCACAAAGTGACAAATTGTTCCTCCATGTTCACTACTCCCTTCGTTAAAAAAACTTGACATTTTAGAGCTGTTTAGATAGATTAGTATAGAGAGAAATGGCTCTAAGTACCTCTATTTATTAGAATTGATTTTCCTAAGTGTCCCTTTGGAACGTAGGAATTTTGCAGAAATAGCAGATGAATTTTACAAAAATCAATTTAAGTATATACAGGAAAAAAGCATGACTGAAGGGGGCGGGACAAATATGATGACATCTTTAATAAGTGTGAAAATATATGTAAGTATATGTATCAATAACTTTTAAAATATTTTATACTATTTATAACAAAAAATCATAATATTTTAATAAAGAATGGGTGAATTGATACTTTGTTGTGATGTAAATTCAAATATTTGTAGGGTTGTTAAAATAATCTACTAAGCTTGGGGTGGGGCACGGCCTCTTTAGCCTCTCTGATTCCACCATTGATTCTAAGGCCCCGTTTGGCAGGGCTTCTCCAGCGGCTTCAGGAGCCGTTTGGAGCCGTTTTCTGCCAAACGGGGTAAAATGAAACGGCTCCACCGATGAAGCCCCTAAAAACGTGCTCTCACAGAGCTTTGGGGTGGGAAGGAGCCAAAAATAGTGGCTTCTCCCGGCTCCTCCTCCAGGCCCCTAAAAACATGCTCTCACAGAGAAGCCATTTTGCCAAACGGTTTACCAAAACCGCTTCAGCTCCACCGGTGGAGCTGTTCGTGGAGCTGAAGCCAAAAAAAATGGCTTCACTAGTGAAGTGAAGCCCTGCCAAACGGGGCCTTAAAGGTGGCCTAAAACAAGGTTATTTATTGGGCAACCCACAGCAACAGTGCATATCTATCCTTTCTAATTAATACGAATAGAGATTTTTTGTGAAAAATACTCTTCAACTGCTACTTCAAGTAGATCTCTAAATATTGTTATCATTTATTTCGGATTTCTCGCTATAGACAAAGTGGAGAGTGGAGTTGGCCCTCTCTACGTTACGTATAAGATATAGCTTGTTGGAGTGTGGAAAGATGAAACTAAAGTGAATCTTTTTTTTTTCTCAGTAACGTGCGCGATTGCCGACAGATGAAACTAAAGGTTTTTGTGCCACTATACGAATACGTACGAGACGATGTTAGGGATGTGTTACATGTGTAGCAGTTATTTAAAAAAAAAGATGTTTAGCAGGTTATGTAGAGTTGTAGACGCATGCATGAACGAAGGCCGATCATCGAAAAGATGATTGTCCAGGCATCGATAACAAGATCAGTAACAGTGACATCTCGATATCGATAGGCTGCAAGATGGAAAAACCTGAGGCTGGGAAGAGGCGGAGTGGCCGCTAAGGAAGCGAGCACCACACCAGCAGGCAGCAGGACAGCCGCGGCGCGCGAGAGCCACCAGCCACAAGCTCCCCAAGCCCAAGGCTCCAAGCTGCTGCTGAGGTGGGCGCGTCGGGTCCGGCCCACGTGAAGCGCCCCGGATCCATCATATCCATCCTGCGCTGCCAGTGCCACCTCGTATTCCTCGTTCCCCCGCCTCACCAAACTCACTTGACCCTACTCTGGCCCTTACGGGCTCCAACAACGACACCTAAAATACAAGACACATTTGACAGATAGCGTTATAGTTAAAAAGTTCAATACTTATTTGATATCCTCTCAACAACAAGACCTAAAAAAAGGTAGCGTTATAGTTAAAAAGTTCAATACTTATTTGATATCCTCTCAATAACAAGACCTAAAAGAAAATCCTTTCTGTAAATAGGTTTCTAGAAAAAAAGATACTCATATTTAAATTGTGCCTTTTAGACAACTCAAAATAGATCTTTCGTATAGCCACTCAGACTGATTTTAAATATTATGCTAGCTAATGTATCAACTATCGAAGACAGTCTCGTATAGATATTTTTCCTCTGATCTACTACCACCTGCCGTCCTCTCTCTCTCTCTCTACCCAACCTGCAACCAATTTTTTTCATGTGCCATCGCTAGACCTACAGGTGATGTTGTACACTGGACTTGCAACACCTTGTTTGTCTATTGGTTTTTACATCGGTTCCATGGTTTCGCTTGGTGATATTCTACCACATTTGTTGCGCACAATTTGCCACCATGAGAACATGTTTGGTTCGCTATAGAAAAAAGAGATATTTTAGTATAGAAAGAAAAAAAAGACTCGAGACCCTAACATGGCTTTGACCTAGTATCTAATAACAACAACACTTCAACTGTGTGGGTAACACAATATAACATCGCTTTCCACTACTGTCTATTAGTAATTAATTACAAGTATGTCATATTTTGTATATGAGATCCAACAGGAATGAATGGTGCTCAATTTGTCTTGCATACATAGTTGACATAATTAATCATGGCCCTTGCAAAATAATGAACACACATGAATACAGAGATTTCATCCAAAATTAAAAGGCACATCAACACCACAAATGCATGACACCTTGTTCCTGTATTTGATGTACATTAGCCATAAAATACTGTAAATGGGCTAGTAGTTGATCGTTTTGATGCTACGTTAAATCAGTGCAACATCCTAAAGTATATGAATAAATTCAGACACTGGCACCATTTCTTGGTCATTGTTTCCTTGTAAGTACATCTAACAATTCTGGCCAATGCAATTTATTGTTCCAGTTTGCCAGCCCCTAATAAGTCCAGTCCCCTTCAATATAAAAAAAAATTTGGAATTGTATAATGCTCTTGCGATCTTTTTCTGACTTGTCTTCGATCCTCCTGATCTCGTTCACTAAAAGTTGTGGACACCGACGAGGAAGCTGGTTTGTTTTATGGGGCCGTACGTATGTCATGAGTACACGTACTACTAGTAAAATTTTCTCTGTGCTAGTATCTTGGTCTCGTTTAGATTAGGGTTAGGAATCAGTATTTGGCACTGTAGCACTTTCGTTTGTATTTGACAATTATTATCCAATCATGGTCTAACTAGGCTCAAAAAATTCGTCTCGTAATTTACAATCAAACTATATAATTAGTTATTTTTTATCTACATTTAATACTCCATATATATGTCCAAAGATTTAATGGGATAGAAAGAGAGTAAAAAAATATACAATCTAAACAAGGCTCTTCATACGATTATATAAACCTATATGACAATAAAGTATGGGGCGTGGAAGATTTCACTCTATGGACCACCCCCAACACTAGTAGACTTGCATTAAAGTTTTTTCCCCAAAATGACAAAAGCACGTAA